GAATTTGATTCCCCATAATTTAATCCCACCCCTCTCCCGAACACCCTAGCATTTACTTCTTTTACAACCCCATCTATAAATATATTAAACAACCATGGTGACATTACACATCCCTGTCTAAGAAACCTACTTTTACCGGGAAGTATTCTCCCTCTCTTCTACACACCCTAACCTGAGCCTCACTATTTCCCCATAAAAGCTCTTTACAGCATTTAGTAACTTACCACCTATTCCATATACGTACTTGCAACATCTGCCACATTTCTCCTCTATCACTCTATCATATGCCTTTTTCTAAATCCATAAATGCAATAAAAACTTCCCTACCTTTATCTAAATACTGTTCACATATATGCTTCAATGTAAATACTTGATCTACACATCCCTACCCACTCTGAAGCCTCCTTGCTCGTCCGCAATTCTACATTCTGTCTTACCTCTAATTCTTTCAATTATAACCCTAACTGTATAATTTTCCTGGTATACTCAGTAAACTTATTCCTCTATAATTTTTACAATCTCTTTTGTCCCCTTTCTCTTTATATAAAGGGACTATACATGCTCTCTGCCAATCCCCAGGTACCTTCCCCTCTTTCATACATTTATTAAACAAAAGTACCAACCACTCCAACACTATATCCCCCCCCTGCTTTTAACATTTCTGTCATGATCCCATCAGTTCCAGCTGCTTTACCCCTTTCATTCTACGTAATGCCTCACGTACCTCCACCACACTTACATTCTGCTCTTCTTCACTCCTAAAAGATGGTATACCTCCCTGGCCAGTGCATGAAATTACCGCCTCCTTTCTTCCTTAACATTAAAAGTTCCTCAAAATATTCTCGCCATCTACCTAATACCTCCCTCTCCCCATCTACTAACTCCCCTACTCTGTTTTTTAACTGAAAAATCCATACTTTCCCTAGGCTTTCTTAACTTGTTTAACTCACTCCAAAATTTTTTCTTATTTTTCATTAAAATTTCTTGACAGTGCCTCTCCCACTCTTTCATCTGCTCTCCTTTTGCACTCTCTCACCACTCTCTTCACCTTTCTTTTACTCTCCATATACCTGCTCTTCTTATAACACTTCTGCTTTGTAAAAACCTCTCGTAACTCCCTTTTCTCTTTTATCACACCCTTTACTTCATCATTCCCCCAATCACTCCTCTTTCCTCCTGCCCCACCCTCCTATAACCACAAACTCTGCCCCACATTCTAATACTGCATTTTTAAAACTATTCCAACCCTCTTCAACCCCCCCCATACTCATCTTTCACTAGCCCACCTTTCTGCCAATAGTCGCTTATATCTCGCCCGAACTTCCTCCTCCTTAGTTTTATACATTTTCACCTCCCTCTTACTTGTTGTTGCCAGTTCCTCTTTTCCCATCTACCTCTTACTCTAACTGTAGCTACAACTAAATAATGATCGATATATCAGTTGGCCCCTCAAATAAACATGTACATCCGGGAGCCTACCCATCACCTTTTATCCACCAATACATAATCTAACAAACTACTTTCATTACGTGCTACATCATACCTTGGGATATTTATTTATCCTCTTTTTTCATAAAAAATGTTTTTACTTATTACCAAATTTTTTTCTACACATAGTCAATTAAAGGCTCCCATTTACATTTACCCCTGGCACCCCAAATTTACCTACTACTCCCTCCATAACCTTTTTACCCACTTTAGCATTGAAATCCCCAACCACCATTACTCTCACACTTGATTCAAACTCCCCACGCATTCACTCAACATTTCCCAGAATCTCTCCCCTCCCCCTCTACACTTCTCTCTTCTCCAGGTGCATACACCGCTACTATAACCCACTTTTTCACACCCAATCTTTATTTTACTCCACATAATCCTTGAATTTTTACATTTGTATCCCTCTTTTCCTGCCATAGCTTATCCTTCAACATTATTGCTACTTTCCCTTCTTAAACTCTAACTCTATTTGAAACCCCTGACCTAATCCCATTTATTCCTCTCCATTGAAACTCTCCCACCCCTTCAGCTTGTTTCACTTAAAGCCAGGACATCCAGTTTCTTCTCATTCATAACATCCACAATCATCTCTTTCTTATCATTGCACAACATCCACGCACATTCAACTTCCCACTTTGACAATTTTCTTCTTCTATTCTTTTAGTAATCTTTACAGGAAAAGGGGTTACTAGCCCATTGTTCCCCGGCATTTTAGTTGACTTTTAAACACCATGGCTTACGGAGGAAAGATTCCCTTTTTCCACTTCCCCATGGATATAAAAGGAAAAGTAATAAGACCAAGAACTATTTAAAATAAAATCAAAGAAAACTCAGATGAGTGTGTATAAATAAAGTGTACATGTATGTGTAGGTGACCAAGTGTAAGAAAGTAGAAAGTACCTGTAATCTTCTATTTATGAGACAGACAAAAGCCCAGCAATCCTCCCATCATGTAAAACAATTACGGGCTTTCGTTTTAACCCTCACTTGGCGGACGGTAGTACCTCCCTGGGTGGTTTGTGCTCCCAAACCTACTACCTATAATTAATAAAAAATACAAATTGAAAGGTACTTGCAATTGCACTAGAGTCGGGTATAGGTTGTTGACAAGATCAAGATATAACTGATTTTAAATTGAAAAAATAAAATTCACAATTAAATACCAAAAGAAAATAAAAAATAAAAAGGGAATGTCTTGGTTATAAATGATAGTAAGATGGTAGACAGGTACACAGGTACAAAGGATAATAAAAAGGTTGGGTTGAATATTAAATTTAAAAATTTGAAAACAAAATGTTAGGGGAAAACATAAAATAAGACATTGACAAAAGTAAAATTGACGGGTATAAATAGGTGTTTAATAAATTTTAGTAAGAAATAATGATTAAAAAAAAAAGTGAAAAGTAATGTTTATTTCATTCATATTGAGTGGTATTTTAACCAGGTTATTTGGGCGTAAAAGGGTATTAAGAGTACTCAAAGATAAAAAATGTGGTATTAAAAAACAGGTAAGGGAATTAGACAAGAAATGGTTATTAATTCAAAAATTTTAAGAGTAAATTGAAATTTTTAAGTAAAAATGGTAATTATTAATTTTAGAAATAAATCAATTGATAGTTTTAAAAAAAATATAGGTAGTAATATGGACAGAAAAAAGTATCAATCAGTGATTTTTAAAGCAAAAAATAGTAAATAAGACAATACATAAGGTACTTATGCTACTTTTAAAATCACAAAATGAGGTAGTTGATTATTTAATTACTAAGAGATTGTACAATGAAATTTGAAAAATATGGCAAAACACACTACTTACGTAGGCTTTTGGTTGGACTTGTTTAGTTATTCTCTGAAGAGTAGTATCCCTGAGAAACGTGAAGATCATTCTCGTTCGTGATTTTTTACAGTGACCTACTTTTTGTTTTCCAACAAAAATTTTCCCCATCCCGTTGAAGCATTGGTGTATTGTGTCATATTCCCCTGCTTAAGTTTTTGATCTATACGGGAGGTTCGGACTTTTTTTTGGGAAGACACTCGTTTATGTAACCTCTTTCTTTACTTTAAAGGTGCAAAATTAAGTCTTTTTCCTGTCATGTGAGGGGAATCTAAGCATAAACACTTTTTCTACCATGGGATCCTAGTAACCTCTTTTTTTATTTCGACCTGGTACAAAACACTTTTTTGGGCCCTTTTATGATTGCAGGTAATTTCTTTTGTTTTTTTGGTTCATATCATGGGAAAAAGTGGACTGTTTAACTATTACTGCGCCCGATAGTTTATTTTTTCTTTTTTATTTTTTGGAGAGCAAAGTAGTACTGAACGGTTACTAAGTTTGTTCTTCCTTTTTTTAACCCTTTTTCAACCTTTGTTTAAGAATATTATTTTTTGGGTAGGCTATTATGACTGTTTGGTGGTCTTGTCCCAAGTTAGTCTTTCCTGGTGCGAAAACTTTTTTTCAAGACTGGGATATTGTTCTCGGTTGTGTCAGGGTCTTTTTTTTGTTAGGTCCTCAAAGATTCATATTTTAAATAACTAAGGTGGAGACATGTCTTTAGGGACTGGATCGTTGGTTATACGAGAGACTACTTGGTGGGTTTGAAATCCGGGGAAGAGGGGGGAGGATGGGGGGGGGCAGTCAGTTTGTTGTTATTTTTGTGGGCGCCTTAGTGGGGTGAGTGGGGTGGTTGCTGGGCCGCGTCCTCCTGGCTACACTGTTGAATAGTTGTTTTTTGGTGTTTTTTTGCTGCCCTTGGTGCTGTTTCCTCTTAGAATTGCGCCTCATAATACTACAGGAATTTTTTGTAGTTAAAAAAAGTTGTAGTTAAAAAAAAGTTAGGGTTACTTGTTCGGCTGGCAGCGGGGTGTTGCTTTGGGTTGTGGGCAGTCTTCCTTGATCTTATTATTTTCGATTTTAGGTTTTTCACTGTTGGAACTTTGGTCATTCGGGGTTGCCGTTGGGTAGTGCAGTTTTGCTTGTAACTAGGTCATCATAGGACATTGGGGGCTCTGATATTGGAGAAAAGAAAACGGAGTTTGGGGGTCGTGCTGCCGCTGCTGCTCCATTTCCCCCATTGGGAAAGTTTCCAACATAATGAAGAGACGTGGTGCTCACGGGCCAGGAAAATGTTAAAAACCGGTGGGACGCAGTGGCCATATTAGAAAGCGGTAGGGGGAGCCGTATAGGAGTTTTGTCATAATTTGAAATGCCCTTTTAGGGAATGCTGTCAAGTGGGGCCATACTGTATTGTTAGTGTAAACTTTTCGGGCATTTACATGCATTTATAAGTGGAAAAAATGGCTTCGCTTTCCCAGCGGTACCCTGGAACCTAACCTAAAATTAAGTGGGGTCCTACGTGTTAGGTTTAAACCTAACAAACACAAAAATTATTAAAAGTCGTTATACTATTAAATAAAAAAAAACATTTTGCTCACCCCAAAAAAACCCACAAGACTTTCTCTAAGCATAAAATTCCATGTAAAGACAAGGGAAAGGGAAAAAGTACCACATCAATATCCTTCTTGATGATCTTATTGGCAATCTTGGATTGTTCCTTCCACTCCCGAGTCATAATAATCATGTCCTCGACCATCTTCTCCCTCTTCTGTTCAACAGAGAGAAGCTGATTCTAAAAAGTCTTCGGCACTGATTCACCAAAAGAGGCTTCCTGGTGGCTTAAGCCATTGTCACTGCTGGGATCTGAGGAACAACATTACAAGTATAAACATAACTTCCTCACTATGACATGTTGGACAATACAATTAAATACTAATTAAATACAAACACTATAAAACACTATTTAACAAAACTGTGAAGTACAGTAACACGGTATCAGCTGTGGACGACACCCTGACTAACAAAAAAAATTTTAGAATATATGTTTTTTGGGCCATTTTTAACTGCGTGAACACCCCCCAAAGGGAGGCCCTTGTGCCCCCAACACCTATTGACCATATGGTACAAAATCTATGTTACGGGTACCATATCAACTGTACATATGGATAGGGTACCATACAGTACAGGATAACATAGGTGCAGGGTACCATATGGACAGGGTCCCACAAAAGGTACGGGGTACCACATGGCACAGGGTACCATAGGTACGGGTACATACAGTACGGACACCATAGGGTACAAAAGGGATAAACAGGAAAAATCACCCTGATTTTTTTGGGTTACCCTGGGTTTATACGTAGGCATTTGGAATCATGAAATTTGTATTTCTTACACTGAATAAACTTACTCAAGTGCATGTGGATCATAAGTAAGTTTTTTGGGTATCACAAATAAAGTTAATAAATATCATACTTCGCATATTTTTTGGAGAACCAGGATAACCCAAAAAATCGACAGACTTACAGTGGACTCCCGGTTTACGATATTTTTCTTTCCAGAAGTATGTTTGGTCCCAGTACTGACCGATTTGTTCCCATAAGGAATATTGTAATTAGTTTCGTCCATTCAGACCCCAAACATACACTACAAACCACTTAAAAATACATTTACAAAATTTGGTGCTTGGGGAGCTGATCGTAACCGGGGTCCACGTTTTTCCATTAGGGCCCCGTACCCTGTACCATAGGGATAATGTACCAATGGTAAAATTTCATATGGTACATGACCTATGGACCATTGCACCATATGTACCATGTACCACAGATACCACTGTATGACATGGCCCACTGTACCAAAGGTCCCCTTTACCATAGGCAAAAAGGTACCATAGGTTAAAAAAACCATAAAATTTCCCTCTTCACCCCATTCCCATCAGTCTTTGAACTGCTGTGAAGAGGAAGTCAGAATTCCCCCCGGAGAGTGAGTGGGGACCCGGGCACGATGAAAAAAGTATTTTTGCTGGCTTTTTCCCACAATGCCAGGGGGGTCCAGATTTTTCTATGGTGTCACACTGACCCCCAGACCCCTTTCTCTCAGATGGGGCCTCCACCTTCTCGGCTAAATTTTGACGCCACTGAATTTTGGCGTAATCTAGGGTTTTGGGGACCCTAAACGAAAAAGCCGTAGATCTACGGGACGGGGCCCTGAAAAGGGTTAAATCAGACTCACTGAAACATTAACCCTTAAATGTCCAAACGCATATTATGTTCCCTCCTAGCGCCCCAAACATATATTACTTTCCTTTGTCATTCATTCAAAATTGGGATGATATGCCCCGATCACTAGACATGAAGAATGGGTGTGTGCACTCAGGTGCGCCATATGAAAAAATTGGGGAGTCTGGGTACCCCAAACTTTTTTTCCTATCAAAAAAACAAAATCTTTCTCTCAAAAAAATTTTGGGGGGTTCGCAAGTGAATTTATATACGTTTGGGGCCGTTTAAGGGGTTTAAAAACCCTTTAAAATAATCTTTAAAATAAAACATAAACAATACTTGCCAAGGCCAATAATTCTTGTCGTAGTCTATTTGGGTTGTCTTGGCCCGATTCTGTGAGTATTTGTTGTGGAGAGGTGGTCACCCGTGGTCGCTGCAACCCGGGGATATCTGGTAGCCATCCAGAGTCCAACACCCGTGCCTACAAACCCCACAACATTAACACATGCAATAAACAACCATATACACCTCAAAAACAAAGAATGTCCCAAAAAAGAAAACAATATATTCCCAAAATGTAAGTAACTTTATGAAGGGATTTAGAAAACAGTTTTGCAACTTGAGTCCGGGGGGCAATGTACATGCCTTTATTTGAAAGGGGGGGTGGAGATATCTGCGTTTTGAACTGATATCGCACCCCCCGGCAAGACGGGTGGATGAGTGGTGGTGGTGAAAAGGGTTCTTTGTTTTTGGGTCACCTGCCTCAGTGGGAGTGGGGGTTTTGAAAAAGAAAATTCCTAAAATATAATTAAATAACTTTTTGTTGGGGCAGGATCCAAAAATGATGGAACCCTAAAAATAAAAGTTCTTCATTATTTAAAACAGTAAATACTGCATTTTGGGGAAGATGAACAGTTTTCTGAGCTCTGTTACATTATCACTAGCCATAAATTTTAATTTTTTTTATAAGGACTGAACCGGGAATGTTTTAAGTTAACTCTGATCCAAAATTTATCGTCTCAGCTTTTTTCTCTCTATTACAGTAATGGACCCCCCGGGGTTCGATATTTTTTATTCTAGAAGTATGTTCAGGGGCCATACTACCAAAAATTTTTTTCCCCTAAGGAAAATTGTGAATTAATTAGTCCATTTCAACCCCCAAAAATACACGTACAAACGCACTTTCATAAAAACCTTACAAATTGGTCCCCCATTGGGGGGGTGATCGTAAACCGGGGTCCACTGTATTTATTTTTTTTTTTTGTTATTAATCTTATGATGAATGTTTTGACTATTTAAAGCGGAATACATACATAACATATATCAGCCACCAATCATAGGTTTTATACAGAGATATTACGTGTGATCCATGCAACAACAACACCCAAAAAAACAACAGTAATCTTTCATAAACTCCTCACTCTCAACACAAAAAATTAAGAGTATGTACTGATAATGTTGCAATCTAAAAAAATAATATCCTCTGAAATGGTAGAGAATCTTTTTTAGAAGATGACACCAAAAATGTTAAATCTGATGGAAAAACTAAGGGAAATATAGTGACACAAAGGTGTTGGTCTTACGCAAGTTACACACTGGTGAGTCATCCACTTTCCTCCTGCTCATCACTCTCACACAATTCCTAGCTATATACTATGCTTCAGCTTCCATAAACTGCTCATTCAATTATCAGAAATAACAGAAATCAGTAATTTGGCCAATTTTACACAATACGTATTCAACAAATTCCAATTTAAAAAGCAGAATCCAAACAAAATATTGCAGGTATTCCAGCCACTGAAGCAACCATCTTCTATTCATTAATGATGTCCCTAGACCTCTCCTATATAAGAGTTGCCCTCCATTTGGAATCTAACAACAAAAAAAAATCAAGTGTTTTACCCTATTTCTAAGAGAAAGCAAAAGACTCAAGAGGTGGTGCATAACAGTGTTCTCCACTGAAGACACCGCAAGACTCAGGGCGGACATCAACCAAATCTTTAAATGGGCCACAGACAACAATATGAAGTTCAATGAGAAATTTCAATTACTCCGATATGGAAAACCGCAGAAAACAAAAAAATAAATTTAGATTCAAAAAAATTTAACCACACAATAGAGAGAAAAACTCATGAAAAGCCCGGGAGTGATGTGTCAAGGGTCTCACCTTCAAAGCCATAACAGTGATCAATTGCATCTGCTAGAAAAAAAAAAACAGGGTGATCATAAGAACCTTCAAAAAATGGGATGCCAAACCCATGAGACACTCTTCAGGTTGTCTGTTTAGCTAGGCTGGAATTTGCTGCACACTAACGCACCTTTAAGGGAGGTGAAAATGTTTTACCTAGAAAAAAGTAAAAAGAACCTCATGGCACACATACTTTTATAAAACACCTCAATTATGGAAGCTTAAGTTTTTCAGCCTGTACCCCCTAAACACAGGGGGAGAGATACATAATTATTTTTCACTTGGAAAAAATAGAGGATTAGTAGACAAACTTGCACATGAAAAATCACTCCCTATGAAGCAAAAGCTTGGCAGACGATGCACCTCCCCCCAATGAAAAGCAGGGGGGCCCCAAACACGAGAAGAGACAAAACAATAAGTCCAGGGGTCCAAGACTTTTCAATTGCCCCCCCATACATAAGGGGGGTTACCAATAACCCCTGCCCGCTTCCGAAGGCACTGCACAGACACCTAAAATCATACTACCAGCCGGGGTGGGCCGTAGTCGGGTGCATGCAGCAAAATTAACAGCCGGTTGATCAGGCCCTGATCCACAATGGGCCTTGTCACGACCGGCCTCGGGGGCACTGACCCAGAGACCCTCTCCATTACATCCCCCAATGAAAAGGGGGGGCACCAGGATTGCAAAGACAACAAACAAATATCAAGGGGCCCTTTACTGTTAAAATGCCCCCAGAATACATAAGGGGAATTACCAATAATCCCTGGGATCTTCAAGGTGCTGGACAGGACCAAAAGTCATACCTGACCATCCATGGAAAGGCACCAGGTAGCTTCAACAATGGTAGCTTTTATCATGGACTCTCTAAAAACAGCCTACCCATAATGCCCCCACCCTGCTAGCCCCACCCTGGCAGCCTCAACCATGGGACCCTACCCTGGTGCCTCCACCATTGTGGCCTCCATCATGGAGTCTCTACCAGGTGGAGGCTAACAAGCAGATCTACATGGAGCCTCCACCCCAGGGGGGGGAGCCCCACAAATGGAGGCTACCTAAAACCTTACCATGGGAGCCCCTACCCTGGTAGCCTCTCCATGGGAGCCTCTACCCTGGGGCCCCTACCATGGGGCCTCTACCATGGCAGCTTCTAACCCAAACACCTCTACCCTTGACCTCTACCATGCAACCATTACTATGGGGGGGGGCTAACATGACACCCTCATCTGAGAGTTTCCCCCCATTTTAGCCTCTACAATAGGCCCACCATGAGAGCCTCACCAGATAGCCTCCACAATGGTAGCCTCTACCATGCCCTCTACCATGGCAGCCTCTACCATGGCAGCCCCTACTATGATAGCCTCTACCATGACAGCCCCTACCCGGGGAGCCCCTTTTCTGACAGCC